AAGCTTTGCCTTGTCCTGAAATGCTTAATGCATTAGTTATGGTGACATTGAAACAACTTGTGGCACCTAGAAATGGAAATTTTATATGGTAGTGAAACTTCTAAATTAAAGGTTTTCCACACAGAGTACTTTAAATATCCACTTCGAAGAAACAGCTGTTGGCTTCAGTCAGTAGTACAATATTACAATACTTGTAGTATTGTAAGCTCTGTGAACCAAAAGCTGTTTCACAGAACCACCAAAAGAGAAGAAACTAACTGTGCTTCTAAAGTATTCACAAATATACACACTAAGTGAGAATCCAGTGTGGTTTTTAACATTTTTTTTTACAGGTGTAAGGACATCCATAGAAGAATTAGGCTGATAAACTTGCAAAGTTTTCTCTGCTCATGAAAAAGAAGAAATATTGTAATTCCACAGTCAAAGTTGGATCATTTAATTATTTTGTTAGTGAGATCTTTACTTTCTGTTTCCTGTTCTTGAAAAAGTTTTTAGTGAAGTAAGTAGAAGGCAACAAGTTTCTTTTTTCCTGAGGCCTAAGTGAAACAGTGGAGTATTTCAGAGCAGTAGCTAAACCCTAAAAGACAACATCAAAACTTGAATACACATTCCTGAGGCTTTTGGAGAGCAATATTCCCAAATGTGAAGTTTATAATTGAAAGTAAACACTCTACCACTTATGCTTGTAACAACAGTTTCAGAAGCGTAGATGTGTGTAAGGGAAGGAAGGATACTTGCCTTGTGGAAGGAGTGTCTATGGTACAGCTATTTTTATTTGCACAGTGTTCCCCAAACAGGTGGAAAAGCAGTCAGTTCTGGGTTGTGCAGACCTGAGCAGAGGCTATAAAAACCCACCTGCAAAATAGTGGAAATCTACTGAGAGGATGACCCACTTCAATTCCCATTTTTTTGTGCTGAGAGTACCAGCTCTACCCTTTAGCTCCAGCTCGGGTGAAGTATTACGAGCTGTGATTGTGTCAGTTCCAAGCAGCCATGCAGACATATGTTGGGTCTGCAGAAAATCCAAACCCTGGCTTCAGTGTGAATGGCTCTGCAGATCCCACAGGGCGATAAATTTTCAGAACATTGAAAAAGTAGGTACCAAACTTGGCAACTATTTAACAGCAGAGTAAACTTGTAGATATATCTGTTGAAAATTCCTTTGATTACAGTCAAAATGGCAAGACACTGGGTCATACTAAATCATTGCAGCTGGATATTAGCACTTTAGGGGTTGAGGGGTTTCAATGCTGAACGTTAAAAGCCAATTTTGTCTCTGTTAGAAGTGAGATACAGATGCATTTCCTTGACTGCCTCACACGCACCAGACTAAAATAAGTCAAAGGCTTCCTCACTTCAGCTGAATGTTCCATTTGCTGTGCTGTACTGCCACTGCCTACAGTACCCCAGTACACTGTAATCAAAGGTTAGTAGCTTGCATCCAAGAGCCTCTCATTGAACCCTGAACTGCATAAAGCTGTCCTAGGCCTCAAGAGCCAAGGGACAGCTAAAATATGGCTTATTAAAGTAGCTAATGTTTACTCAAATATATGTTAGTCTGCTGAGAATGAGCAGTGGTTTAAGTTTGTTGGTCAAGTGCAGTCCTTTTGAAACAATCCCTCTTCTGTGTGTTGCTGTCACTTTAGAATTCCTGCTCTTCTCTCTATGTAATAGAATTTCAATATTTCAGTATACTCAGTATTTGGTTAGATGAGGAGAATTTTACTTAATATTCTGCTGCATTTACATTTCTCCTTTCTTAGAAAGAAACTCGAAAGCCTAACAACCCAACCTATATAAGTAGGAAGTAATTTTTCCCCATGTAACCCAAAAATGAGCCTGATGAATGAGACACATCACCATCACCTGTGTCTGTTTCTTGCTCTGCCACTGCTAATACAAAGACCATGAGTCTTTCTGAATAAGGTAGCACTGTCTGTGTGGGGAACACGTAGAAGTCTATGGGGAGACGTGGCCACAGGAGAGCTCTGTTCTTAACCAAACCTACCTTTGCAGAAGCATTAAGGTAAAATGGAATATAAATTTCTAGTGTTTTGCTCTGGGATGCTGATACTTCAAAATGCAACAGAATATGTTCTTATTTTTGAAGGCAAAGGCTGTGGGAAAGTGTTCACCTTTGGGCTTTTTTTTACTTTCTTCATTACTAGTGTTTTAGACACAGCAGGATATGGTGGTGTTTTGGTAGTGAGACTGGGAAAAAGAAAAAGGTGCACTTGAATTTTGAAAGACCTGGAAGAAATTTCCGGAGGCATTTTATGCAGTGAAATTGCTGTCTGTTGCAAATCTGTCTCCTGACTTCTGTGAAACTGAACTTTCTACCCAACACTTTCTTCTTCCTCTAGGGCATCGAGTACATTTTTCTTCTTCTGTAACAGTGCTGCCAGCAGTGCTCTGGGTCCCGAGTTACATGCTCTTGTGGGTCAAGCAAACCCCAGCAGAATGCACCTGGCTAACTGTGGCTTGCCCTCATACAAAAAGTGCCACATCTCTCAGTAGTCATTCAGGTTCACTCACTGGTCACCTCCAGAGCTGATCTCTTTCCAACCTCTTCACTTCTTCATTCCCTCCTGACTTCCCACTGTGAGCTGACATGCCATCAGTCAAATAATTCCTTGCACCATTAAGCATTTGTCAGTTTACATCTTCCCTATTCAGTTGCTACAGCAAATGAAAAGCTTGGTCTCTGGTTATTCCTATACATAGTTCCCTCTTTATGCAGAAAAAGCTTTTCAAACCTTTCCCTTTCAATGTTGATCAGTATGGCTGTATATCCCACATGCATCAATCTCACTCCTCTTGTGAATGATTGCTCTTCAGGATTTGTTCAGGTAAGTTCCTAGTTAATAGGTTTGTGCTATCAAAAGTTTAATTTGGGATGCTGTTTTATTGTAGAATGTAGTCACGGGAGAGCATTTGGTAAGGATTTGGTTTTCTTATTTTTTTAGTCTCACAGAAAGAAACTGGGGCTTTAGCCATTCCCAGCACTCAGGCTGGAACAGAGAAGAGGTCAGACCCAACCCTGATGTCAGCTCATGTAACCCTGTGCAGGAGGCACATTGCCCAGTACCCAGGGGTGTGTGTACAGCTTGTCCCCAGCATTTCCCACATCCCTTGACATTCTGGCCAAATGTGGTCATCTTTTGCCCAGGAATGTTTTTATATCCCCTTTTCTCTCATCCTCTGCTTGGCTGTCCTGAAGATGTGTCTCAATCACAAGGGATCCCTCATCATCCTGTCATACCAAGAAATGCTTTCATGGGGGTGGAGGATTATTTTTGAAAGTGGTTTTCCTTTTCAGTATCTGCCTTTTCTATCTCTGTGCCAGGCTAGTGATGAACATTTTGAGGAATTCCCAGAGGGAATGTTTAGGAAATGGTTTATTCTATTTGCAGAAGTCCTTATTGTTTAAAAAACTTCCACATGCAGTCTTGTTGTCATGTCTCTCTCAATATAATCCCCCTGTGTAAAGAGATTGTTTTCCTTTCTCTCTTCCTCTCTTCTTCTCCCTTCTCCTTGGGTTTCCTATTTTAGACCCTGTACATTTGCACTCTTATGCTCTTTCTTCAACCTTATTTACTGCCTCCCACTTTATGCAGCTACTGAAATAATTGTAGGTGTTTTGACTATTTAAAGAACTGTTCTTAAATTCTCCTGTGTATTACCAGTAAATTGTCAGTTAGAGATTAGTGCTGGCAACAAGCACTAAGTGACTGGTACTATAAAATGAAGACTTAGTTTTTGTACATTTATTGAGATTTTAGACTATGGATACCTTATGCTGGCATGATTAAAACTCCACAGTGTGTATGTAGAAGCCAGAGATAAAAATCTTGCGTGTTTATACAATGTGTTCAGTTTCTCAGCATTTTGAGATGTAGCAGCAAAGCAAAATTTATTACCTTTGAAGGAGTCTGTATGTTTATCAAATATACTCACTAATCAGAGACAGAAGAAACAGTGATATCTTTATACAGATATGGAATTCCAGATCTTGGAATCAGTGGTGTTTGAATTAAGAAGGTATCTTAATTTCTAGTTTTGTTCTGGTGGGGTAGTAGCAGCGGAAGCCAGAATGTATTGGCATTGGAGGCTAGCTTTACCTACTAGCTAAAATCAGGGCTCCAAAGGCCAAATAAGAGATTTCTGGTAATAAAGGAACCTGAAAGTCCATACAGCCCTCAGAGGTGCTGGGTGACTGACCTTGCATGCTGCTTGTGTAAAAACAGCACCATTATCTGAAGACACCACTTGTGGCATGAGGAAAAAAGTACCAATTTACATTTGCAGCGAAAGAAAGAGATATCTTAAACCATGGCATTGTACAATGAAAAAAAACCAGCTGGTTTCTGCTTTCTGTGCAGTAAGCTTGGATATAAAGTATGCTTCCTCTTCCCATAACTCACCTACTAGAACTGGAACAGAAAATTCCTTTTTCTAACAGCCACAACAGCAAAACCAGGCCAATTTTTTTTTTTTTCCTAATTTTAAACATGATAAAATGAGATCTGAAATGTTTGCTGCAGAAGTAACAGGCTGCAATATATCAGACTCCTGAAAAAGATGACTATGTTATCCAATGTATGGACCCAAAACCTTCTGGATTTTTTCTTCCCTCTTCCTCCCCCTTCCTTGTTTCTTTATTTGTCTCATTTTTTTCCCCAGATATTTTAATGTATCTGTTAATCATATGGTATGTGTGAGAGGATTCTGGGAAATTCACTAGGTGATGTCCTGCTTTTTAGCACTAACTTGAAGAGTGTTTCCACAAAAAAATCTCTCATATTTTATTTCCTCTAGCCTTCTTCTTTCTGGGATGCAGTAATTTCAGCATGTAGGACACTAAATGCTTGCTTGAAACTTCTGTAACTTTTTTTTTTTCATGTCACACTACAGGAACAAAGCTCAATTACTCTTCAACAGTTTCCCCTTTTTCAGATTGCATACTTGCTGATATTTTTATATGCTTAACTGTCTTCTAGGAGGAAAGCTCTTCCAGTAGTGGAACAGATTCCCTAAGCAGTGGAGAGATTCCACGAAGCCGGTCAGAGGGGACTTTGATTGATGTGGATGACCGGACACCTTCAGACAGCTACAGTATGGCTCTTCTGCTCTTTTCTGCTAAGGCTCTCCAGCTAAAGTCCTTATTTCTGCAAAACTCTGTGTCAGGCAGGTTGGCAGGAAGAGTTGAAATCTTTAACCTTACATTAACAAAGGCTACTTAGATTAAGTTTACTGGGGGTCAAGGTGGGGAAGAGAAGAGGAAGTTCTTAGCCAAACTAGATTAATTTAGGGTTTTGAGAACATGATTGAAGTTAGCTCAACTTAAAACCCGGAGTCTTGGAAAAGTCGACTTAATCTCCTTGCTATTTTAACCCCAAAGATGAGAAAACTTTGCCCTCCACAAGGAAGGCATTCTCTTAGCTTCTTGTCCAGTAGCAGATATAACAGCAAGCCTGACACTTGGTGTGTAAGTTGTGGAGCAGGAATTATTTCTTTTCAGACATGCTGCACCCCAGTAATTGTGCTGTTGCCTTGGCGTGAGAAAGTGTCTGTCCTAGTGACTCAGGCTCTGACAGAGATTTCTATTCATATTTTTTCTTGTAGAAACATGCCCTCTAGGATGGGGAAAAACCCCAAACGCAAACCTTATGTTTATTTTGGGTTTAATTAATCTATACTTTTAATATTCAGTACTGATTTGACTGTAATAACATCGCAGCACAAGGAAAGATTTTGGCCTATGAGCAGAGACAAAAGAACTTTTCAGTGGGTGCTTGAACAGTACATCCCCCTCTGGTGACCCCCTGGTCAAGACGGGGTGCTCGAGGAAAAGGAGGCTGCCCCTGGGCTCAATCCCCCTGGCAGCTCACCTGGAAGGCTCTTGTCAAGACAGAGCTTTGTAGATAGGCAGCTGGAAAACAGGTAAATTCCACCTTGATTCTTCCAAACTGGGAATTTTCCGGAACCGTGGAAAGACTTCATGGCTTTGGCTTTTTATTACAATTTGAAAAAGGAAACAAAAAGAGAAGTACTAACATTAAATTTATTTATTATTTTATTTTTTTTTTGTGGCTGTATGCACTGTCATGTTTGCATTTGTGCAATATAAAGTAACCTTGGGAATGGAAAGTATTATGGAAAGTGTAATAATGTAAGCTATAGATATGGTGAAAAAAATAGAAATAGTGACTTTTCCCTCTAAAATTCAAATTCTTTGCAAGAATGTATAAAGAAGGGATGGTATAACCTCTATATAGAGAGGAAAAAATGGCAAAATGAAGTAATAGAAACACTTAGCATAAAAAGTAGTAGGTATTCCATTGCAACAAGGGTGAGTCACAATCAACTGTAAACCAGCTTCTCTGAAGAATTGTTATTATAAAATGTAAGGATGCCTTTTCTTCAGAAAAAATAAATATTACTACTAATAATGAGTATTTTTACTAGAAAACATATGTAAATATCAGTTATACACCCGTATTTGTCTATTTAAATGCAATCTCAGAAAATTAATAGTTACACAAATATGTCTCTCCAAACGTCAAGTTGTACAAGGTCTCATAAATTATATCAATGATTGTTTTCTAGTGGAAAGCTATTATAACTAATTCTAGACACATGGAGATAAATTGTAAGAGTGCTGTTATCAATTTATTGCACATGCACTAGCATGAAGGGAATCTTGAATAGTGCATTTATCTGTATAGTCCACAGTGTTTGAAAAATGAAACTGTAGTTTAATCTTTGCAAAGAGATAGACACAAAGGAAAGAAATGCACAGCATTTTGTAAGAGGCCAAAGATTAATGGAATATAATGGTTTGAACCTTATGGAACTTTATCATACTCAATGTCAATTAATAATCATACAAGTTCATAATGATCAACACCTCAAAGAAGATGCTTTGCATCCTTCAATACTAATTTGTTATTTAGCGCTAATTTGTTAGCACTCTTTCTATTTAGAAAGATTCTTAATTAAATCAACATTGATACCATTTAAAAACCTGAAGGAGAAACATACATATAGAAATTATCTCTGTGTATTTGAGGAGGAAAATTTAGTCACCTCTTAGTTTAACAGACTATCAGTTGGACATGAATGGAATTTCTCAAGTCTCTGTGCTTTAGGAAATGCTTCTTTTTTTCTTTTAAACAGATACCAGTGAAAGTAAACTGGATTTGGATATTGACTGGCCTGGTGTATTCAAACATGCCCAAGCTGTTTCCAAGACTAATCCTTTCTGGAATGAACTGTCGGGATCCAACCCTTTTGTACATGACATAGCTGCTTCCAATAGAAATGAAAATAATAAACGTCTTTCTATCTTAAAGGAAAAACCTTACTTGTTCTCTAAAATTTCTAGCAATAGGGACTCTTTGGATTCCTCAGGTGATGAGCTGAATATTGATTGTCTCCTAAGAAAGACTTCAGTAAGAAGATCTGGAAGATCCAAGAGTGTCTCCGACTTCCTGGATATAGTTGATAACCAAAGATTTAATCCTCACAAGACAGCGCCTCAAAAAACTATAGCTTCTGATATGACATGGTTTCAAAATGACCGCGAGGCCTACAGGATGGCTTGGCTGAGTCACCGACAGCTCACCCGGTCCTGCCTGGATTTAGAAGCCATGAGCCACAGCCCTGGATGGGCACAAACACAAGCTACAGACATCCACGTAGTGTGTAAACTGAACCACAAAGGGGGTTCAGTACAGCTACCTGACTCAGATATCAACATTCATGTCCCTGTGGGTCATGTATCACCAGGAGAATTCCAAGAAGTTGGTTTAAAGGCTATCCTTAACCCTCCATTGTCGTGCAACAATGAGCTGTCCAGCACAGTAAGTCCCCTGATAGAACTTACACTGAGCAACCTCAACACGAGCGAAGCCATTTTCCTAGAAGTGAAAGTTGCGGCTAAAGTGAAGAGCGATCCACTCAGCCAAGTTATGAGTGATATTGTGTGTTTTTTTAGTCTCAACAAAGAAGGACCTTTTAAGAAGCTAGAGAATTGCTATATTTATCAAGATACCATACAAGTGAAGCTAACAGACCTAAGTCATGTGATGTATGCAGTAATTGCTGTACAAGCAAGCAAAATCCAGCCTCCAGCAACTAATGTGTGGGACTATGTCCATAGAACAGTCTCAGTTGGAATTTATGGTCCCAAATATATTCATCCATCTTTTACAGCAGTTTTTACAGTCTTTGGTCATAACTACATTCCAGGAAAACTCACGATTTGTGATATAAAAAAAGGCGGGAAAAGTATGCCTCCTGTGGTGTTTCAGCTGTGGGGAAAGCATACGTTCCTGCTTGAAAAACTGCAGGATCTAAACATTTCTTTGATATCCTGTGATCCAGACTTTCAAGTAAAAATGGAAGATCAAAGCAAAAACATTAAAAAGGAGGAGTTGAAAACTGGTGAAATGGTGCGCCAACAATTCCTGTTTTCCATGCTTGGATGCAGGGAGATGCATTTCTTTGTTTTCCTTGTTCAGATTAAAATCTTGAAAAGCAGCCAAGTAACACAGTTCCACGTTACGACTCCTGATCCTGCTCCAAAATTAAGTGGAATTATTAATAGGCCAAAACGCCTACAAAACCGCAAAGAAATCAAGTCTGCACCATGGCTTTTGATACCAACAATAAAATATCCAAAGTTTCAAGACAAAACTTTGAGTGTCAATACTTATGGAGTGGCTTTGAAAACTGTGTTACGCCAAAATAAGATCGACTATTTGCTGGAATATTTTAAAGGAGACACAATAGCACTGCTTGGTGAAGATAAAGTTAAAGCCATTGGACAAACTAAAATGAAAGAGTGGTATGTGGGAGTTCTCAGAAAAAAGATTGGTCTTGTACATTGCAAAAATGTAAAAGTGATTTCCAAAGAACAAGCTATGGACACTGCTGACAGTGAGCTAACAACCAGGAATCTTGTTGAACAAATTGCACTGCCTTTCAAAAAATTGACTTATATCTACTCGGTAGTTCTGTCTACAGTATCAGAGAGTGTTTATGACTGGAGAGCTTTAGCTGAGGTGTTGGGATACTCACACATGTCTTTGGATGACTTTAATGAGGCACATATTGATAAAGAATCAGAAAGAGTTGCGCATGTGGTGAAGAAGATGAAGCAAGACTGCCATGCTAACAAAAAAAAAAGACTATTTCTTTATGAACTCATTGTTGTAAGTATTGCATGAACTAACTGGCTTATTGGGAATGAATTGCCAAGAAACTACTCAGTAGTAATGTGGGAACATGAAAACATTATTCTGTAACCTTGCAGGATCTTTATAAACCTGAATATATCACTAAAAGTTGTAGACACCAATAGGTGGAAAAAGCACACAGACTCTAATAAAGAATAATACTTTGATCAATTAATCCTGAAAAGTCTTCTGTTAATGCTCCAGGAGCTGTATTCCTTCAGTAGGTTGACTAAGATGACTTTTTTTGATTTTTAAATAGTCACGATTGAAATTGTTTTGTCTTTTCTCTTGGTAAATTGCTTTCCTGAGAAATTCACATTCCTGTTTATTAAGTAACATTAATATACTGTGGGAATTCCACTATACATACATAGTTATAGATAGATATCATCTATATGTATCTATGTCTATATGTCTGTCTATATCTATATCTATATATGCAATTTGTCTATATCTATATATGCAATTTGTCTATGCTAAGTTGAATGCCTAGCTTAGCTTCAGATATTTAAAAGGGACATCTTGATCCAAATGTTGAGGGCAAGTTTTTCTATCCACACCTTACAACGTCGTGGTCAATGTTATAGTGGCCCAAGAAGGATATTGCAAGTATTTCAGAATGTATTTTCATGGACCTCCTTTGTAAGACATTGGACAACTTCTGTGTGACTACATACTGCCAAATGGGAGTCAAAAGATTATTCTAATTACTTCCAGGTAATAAGTTGCACTATCAACAATCTTAATTCACTTACTGATCTGCCTGCAAATTCATTTGAAATTAATTAATGGTCACTTAATACTCTCCTTGGCTTTGAAAGAAAAATTGTCCAACCTATTAAGGGACAGAAGGTAATTAAATTTCTTATATGAAAATAAAGCATTGCAGAAATGGATGCTTAAAAACTCACATTGTAGCTATTCACCTAAAGCCTGAACTGTAAGCCTCAACTGAGTTTACTTCTCATAACTAGTCTATCCCCTTTGAAGTGCTGACAGAAATTTCAGCAGGATTCAGAAAGTTTGGATCGCAGAGGCCACTTAAAATTCTTAAGAGCACATCAAAGTTTGTGGAATAAAACTGAGCCCGTGTGAAGTACAGCAAAGTCCGTCATGTCTCTTTACAAAAAGGGGAGGGTGACCTAAAGGTGAAATTGTCCAAACTTTTAGCTGAATACAGTGAAACAGAGTTCATTACAAAACAGGGGAAAAGTGGGGCATAATTAGATTAAGCTTATAGAATCATAGGACAGCTTGGGTCAGAAGGCACCTTAAAGATCATTTCGTTCCAACCATCCTGTCATGGGCAGGACACCTTTTACTAGACCAGGTTGCTCAATGTCCTGTTTTGTGAGATTTATGTATTTTTGCTAGGAAGTACCAATGCAGGTCCTTGTATTTGTAGAGCTAGATATAAATCTAGATGTCATCCATGTAATTTTGGGTAGAATTTTCACTTAATTCTTTTAAGAAATCTCAGGGTTTTGTGTTTTATACCATTCTTGCTTATCAGAGCAAACACAAACTGAATGAGTTTGTCTCCAGTTTAATGGAATTTTGTACAATACACTGTAGTCAGCTTCTCACTATTCTGTCTACTAAAGTATTATTGTTTGCTGTGAGGATTTTATTGGTTAATACTTTAAAATTAAATCACACGCATATCTGATTTCTGCAGAAATGCTTGATATTTCAGTAGAAATCAGTATCCTAAAAACAAGGAAAATTTCTGCTCTTGATCTTTCCCTGAAAACCTCAACAGTTTCAGTGGAATATTTTGGTGTTAATTTGAGAAGAAAAATACCCAACATTTATTTTTCCCATTAGCTCTTATCCAAACAAAGGAGAATGCAACATATATCGAGATTTTGCTCCTTCAACCATTTTAATTTGAGTGTTATTAAATGCTTATTTGGCAAGGAGGAGGGAAAAGTTTCATGTTTGCATTTCTCCTCAATGACCAAAAAATTATTAGTTCTGTGGGAGGAGTAAATCAAAAGGTGCTGGCCAAAGTGATCAGTGATTTTCCATATAAAGCCCTAGCTGAAGGACCACACCTTAGTATAACAGTGCTTTAACTTTATTTTAAAGGTCATTTCATACTTCTAGGAAGCTTTTTGCTTTTTTTAAAAAAAATATTTTTGTTGGAGAAGTATGTTTTTCTTTCAGGATCTGTAAGCTTGGCAGGACCCATTTGATACTGGAATGCTGAAGCAGCTGAATGCCAGCTTGATTTTTTTCTAGAGCTTGTGGGCAATTTTCCTCTGAAAGTGTTGGCAACACCATTTTGTAAAAAAAAAACCCCACATTTGTGAGAACACAAAAGTAAAAAAAAGTCCTGTTTGCGTAGAAATGCAGAATAGTGCTATAAAATTAAATTAGAATGCTCTGTTTGTAATTACTGGTGAAGGATCACTAATGAAAATCATTGTTGCAGGCACTTTTGAAAATAGATTGCCAGGGATTGGTGGCACGTCTTACCCAGGACACCATCATCTTGACTTCAGCTGTCAAGCTTGGCAAAGGCTGGCGGGAGCTTGCGGAGAAGCTGGCCCGGCTCACAAAGCAGCAAATAGAGGCTTATGAAGTGCCCCACCAGGGGAAAAATGGAGCAGTGGCTCTGGAGGTAAGGGTCTGCTGTAGCAGCTCATGCACAAACACAGCCAAGAACCTTCCTTCTTCCTTGTTTTGCAGCCTTCTTTCCTTTTACACTTTCCAGTGAAGGTCTCAGACCCCGCCTTGAGCTTCAGGGCTGGGTTCAATCCTTTTTTATTGTCCTGTCCACTTGTTAACCTTACTCTCACCTCTACTGTCATTTCAGACAAGTGAGGAAGACCAGACAGTCCTTGCAAGAGCCACTTCTAATCACACTCTGTACTTCCACAAAAAGGAAGCTGACTTCTACCATTAGTACTTTTCTGTGCCACTGTAACTGTTGTTACCATTTAGCTTAAGTAGCATGAGAAGAGGTTGGAAGCCCTGACACCAGTTTTACTTCTGATGTATGAATGTGGCAAATCTACGCTTTATATTTATAGCTTTTCAGGTAGATCATGATTTTTTTTCCCCCTTTGTAAAGCATTTTTCTTATACAGATTTGAGCTCTGTATAAAAGTCAATTTATCCTCTCAGATCTAATTTAGTGGATACACAGCTAAGGAAAAATTTAGGTGCCTAATTAGATCTCTAGTGCCATTCAAGGTGACCAGAAATACTCATGGCATCCATGCAATGTCAGATATGCCACGAGACTTGGGGTGGATGGATCCTTGTCCATCGGGCTGAGCATCGGTCAGCCTCTGCCCCTGGCACACCTTTGCCTGGGCAACCAAGTTACTTCCTGCCCTTCTCTCCTCTAACACCAAAGCATGCAGCAGTTCCTGTTCTTTCCCACAGTTATGGGCCAATGACTTCTAGGTTCCAGACTGGTTTTTACTCTGAAAACATCTTTTTTATGAGCATTGCTGAATGATCTTTCTGACTTGAGAGTTTACATTCAGGCTTGACTCTCCCTCTGCCTATATCATCATCTCCTGATTACTGCAGGTAATGTACATGATCCAGACTGCATTCCTTCTTTTTCACCTCTTTTTGCCAAAGGAATTGCTATTTCCCATTCACAGGTTCACAACTACTCTAGATAATTTTTTTTCTTCCTTTTCTTATTTCCCTGTATCTGATTCTTCTTATTCCCTGCCAAACATATTCTCATTTCCACTGTCTGAATCCAGTGAATCTTGTTTTCATCTGCTTGGTGATAACTATCAAGATATTTCTGCTCTAATCATGAACTACTACCTATTACTCCTTTTGAATGCTCTGCCCTCCCTCCCCAATCAATATTTGATCAAAATTCTATGTGTTTATTCATGTGCTTCTGCACTTTTCAACAAAATTGTCTCCATAATTGTTGTTTGCAATCACTGCTTCCTTCTCAGATCCAGTTTTTCTCTTTGAGCTATTTTGCGTATTTTTTTTCTGTTCTGGGTACTTAAGTCTGGATGCACCTTTCTCCAATTGTTCCTCATAAAATTATCAGCCTTTTCAATCCCATGTCTATTCTCCTGTTTTTTTATTTTTTACTGTTAGGCACTGGCTTGCCTGATTTCCTACACTTTTGTTCTAGTTACTAAGCTTTCTGTGTTTGGCTAACAACCCCCACAGCTTTCTACAGAAGGAATTATTGACATCAACAACATACAACTCTGCTGTTCTCCACTTTATTTGGGAGTGTTTCCCCTTTGATAACAGACAGTAGAAATAAAACAATCTTATAGCTGTTTTTCCAGCATCATAGCTATTTATTTTTATATATTAAGAAAATTTATAAATAAACATTTACTTCACTTTAAATAGGTTTTGATTTTCCATTAAGCCTGTCTTCTACCTCAGACACCCTACCTATTTGTTTTCAAGAATTTTTTGCATTATACTTACGGCAAACCACCAAGAGAATTCTCTGCCTTTCAGTGACAATGTCTGCTGACAAAACATAGTGCAAATTCATCGTAATTAAAAGCCCATAATACAGTACACTATATTTTCAGAGAAAATTCAACAAGCAAAGATCAGAATTTTGCTGTATTTCTGTGTCATTTCTCAAGGATTATATTGGGCCTATGAAAGGTTTATTGGTTTGTCCATGTGGGTGTGAGTTCAAAGCACAAGGCTTCTAGCACTGGTGTCTTGTGTGATCACAATGTGTCCCCCAATGTCCTCTGAATCTAATCTACATCTTATTACTTTCTAGCAAACATCACTGCTTTCTTCTGACCTCTAAACTTTTCTGTTGATAGTAGTAGTTTGCCTTAAAACCTGAAACCCAACAAAGTTGGGGGAGGTTAATAAGTTTTGACTAGTTATTAAGGATTATATGAATTATGAGGATTAGTTCATTCCCCATCAAGGATTGTTCCTTCATCAGGAGGATTGATTGGTTGAAAAATGCTTCTGCTTTTAAACTTCCTATTTTTCTTGGTGGGAGAAGTCTTGCAGATGATCCCAGAGGTAACTTGGGGTACATACAGTTGGTGTGTAGATTATGAAGCATTTTCCATCAGTAAATTCCAAATCAGTTTGCAGTGGATGTAGGTATCATTATTGCGTACTCAGCAGAGGGAGTGGAAAAGAGGGAAAACTCACACACACAGCTGAGATGAGACTTGACCAGGATGCTGCAGTGATTTAATATTTTGCCTGAGATGCTGCTTTGATAAAATTCAGGAATGTTGATTCAGTTCACACATTGCACTAGAGTATGTGGATGTGTAGAGGAATCTGCATTAGAACCACTGCTGGGTTTGCAGGATTAGTTTAATGTGATGTTATTGCCAAGTTAATTGTGCATCAATAGTGACCAGTTTGTAAAGCTTTTGGTCTCTACATTCTCCTTTTTCTTCTTATCTTTTGTCTTAGATTAAAAAACAAACAAACAAACAAAACAAGACAGTTGCAATAGATTAGATGAAAACCAAAGTTTGTATTTAAGATATTTCAGCCAATTGTCTTATTAAAATGTCAGACTGAACTTCAGCATAAGTCAAACCTAACACATTTTCATATTCATCATCTATTCACATTCTAGTGAAGACAAAAGACTGTACCCTCATTCTTTAAATATCCTGGTCTAACAGGAATGTAAGAAAAGGAAGAAAGACACCCAAAAAATACATAGCCAGTAACAGAATTTCAGGAGATACCAGATTCTCTTGTAAGAGATACCAGCTTCTCCTGTTGTCTACTTTGGCTATCAAGCTAAAAATAAGGATACAAAAACTTTCTGGTCCCAGCATAAATACAACAGTAGTGACTTGCTTTAGTTCATTAAAATATGTTAGAACATCTAATATTTACAGGAGGACATTAAAAAAATCACTTTCAACTTAGCCTCTCTAAAAAAGCCTGAAAGAATGCATCAATCTCCTTCTTCCCAACTACCAATCTACTTTTCTCCTTCTGTAACCTCATGGTTATGACTTAAGATAGACTTGCTTAAAGGAAAAAGTAGGCACCATTTGTTTGGGTTAATGATGATACCTTTCTCTCTTGTAGACCTAAAATGAGAAAATTCGCTGAAAGCATAGGCACTTTTTTATTACTTAAATTCAAGGTACAAAGTGGACTAATCAGACTGTGAGACAGTAAGTTTAGACTAGAATAGACTAATTAGACTGTGGGGCTGTAAGTTTCTTTTTTTTCTCTGTTTGGGTATGGCAGCAGAAGTTGAGAGAAATGTTTACAGAAACAATGACAGAATCAGTCTTGGGCAAGCTGAAAGATCTTAGCCCAAAAATATGGAGAAAAGTTCAGAACTATGAGCAAAGAAATTCTTCTCCTACTCAGTTCCTTCAGGGATCAAGTAAATAAAGCTTAAAGCAATGAAGCAAAGATTTATGTTGTGTACTGTTTGTAAATTAATAAGATAATATTGAGGAAATAAGCAATTTCCTTCAGAATTATCCTTCACAGTCATAAAATAAAACCTGGCTTTTTGATGAAAGTGGAAAATATGCTAAAAAATCTCAACTTCCTGATCACTTTTGTGTGTGTATATATATACACATAAACATATACATACATACATATATATATATATATATCTCAATGCACAGTCATCAGTCCATATACATTTATAACCATGCATAAGTGTGTTCCTGTTAAAACAGTGAATGACAGAACCTCTAAGGAGAGTCATGGGTTTCTTCGTACATTTGTGCATCATCCCTGCAACCATTAACTCAACTGCTGTTTGCAAAACCTTTATTGCCAATGAGGAGAGGGAACCAGAATTTTTATGGCCCAAGTAACATTTGGAAAAGCAGTAGCTGGGAAAATAATTATTTTGTTTGTTAACTGAGCAAATTTACTCAGCACTTTGAAAGATAAAAGTCCAGCTTGGTATCTGATTCATGCTGCTATAACTTAACTAATGTTATTAGACCAATGACAAATTACACCTGTTAAGGATCTGCTCCATTTGTTTGGCATAAACCAAATAAATTGTAGTTTGAAAAGCAAAAAACAACTGGTAACTAATCTTTTTATTTCCTTTCTTTCTTGAAGGAAATTTTTAAAATTTTATGTCCTGATTAAAAAAAAAAATAAAAAATAAAAGCTTTTGACTTGCCTGTTTTAGAGTGTTTGGGTGCTTTCACCCTCTTTTTAAAACAGATTTTGCAGATAAATCATGTTAGACTCATAGTATCGTTAAGGTTGCAAAGGACGTCTAAGATCAGCTATCTGATAATATCAGATTATCTAGATCAACCACTATCCCAGCACTGCCAAATCAACCACTAAACCATGTCCCTAAGTACCTACGTGCCCTTTAAATACCTCCAGGGATGGTGACTCAACCACTTCCCTGTGCAGCCTGTTCCAATGCCTGACCTACCTTTCAGTGAGCAATTTTTTCCTAATATCCAATCTAAATTAATTAAGGGGACTTCATTCTGCTCCCCATCCTTGTTTTCCAGCTCAGCAGAATGGATACCCAGAGAGCAACTGGTCTGGGCATTTAAGCCTGAGGCAAGGAAGGCATTAAGTACATCAACCTTTCCCTCATCCTTTGCCATAATGTTCCCCTCTGTATCCAATAAAGGCTGGAGATTCTCCTTAGCCTTCCTGGTGATGCTGACGTCTTTCAAGAAGCATTTTTTATTGTCTTTTACGGCAGTAGCCAGATTAAGTTCCTGCTGCTGTTGTCAGGAAACATTTCTGAAAGGTAAAAAGCATGTTTAAAATTTCCAGGCTGAGTAGAGGGACAGTAGGATGTTGATAAGTGGAGCAGTAACCATCAAAAGCACAGCCAAATAGGGAAACTGTCGCTGGGTGTATGCATTGCAAAAGATTATTTTCCTTCCACTCTTGTTCTTTGACTTACAGTTTCAGACAAGGATCTATTTTGACTTGGTGACAATCACCTGGATGAAGAATTTATCTATTATTTACCTCTCTGAGAATTTGAGACTTTCATGGACATAATGTAAATGAGATTACTGGAGTTTTTATATCAACATGCCTCTTTTTATAAAGCATTTCAGCATGCCTAGTGATTAAAAACTTATTTTCTCTTTTTTATGACTTTTCAACTATTAAGATATTTTTTTTTTCAATAATTAAATTTCTGCTACTAAATCTCTTTTGCCCCCTTTATTTTCAGATGATGTGGAAACCTGCATATGACTTTCTCTACACTTGGGCTGCCCATTATGGAGATGGTTACAGGGATGTCTTACAAGACCTGCAATCAGCCTTGGATAAAATGAAAAACCCAGTAACAAAACAGTGGCGAGAGTTAACTGGAGCTCTGATTCTTGTGAACTGCATGGAGGTGTTAAGGGCAAGTGCCTTCTCCAAAATGGAGGAAGAGTAGATGGCCAAAGTTTGATTTTGGAAAATCTGTTAGGAAACTATACCCCTGTCTAGAGTTTATTTGTGTACATCTATGTTTCAGTGATACTTGTAGAGCATGACAGAGTGAAGTTTGTTTTAACTGAGTTGATGTTGGGCCTAGCCCTATGGTTCACAACTACAGATTTCCAGAGCATGCTAGTGGCTTCTGAGTAAGACAAGAATGGGGGATTAAACTAATGAAGTCAACAGAAATGACTTGTATTTTATGGGGTACTTTCTAAAACGATCTGTTTCTGATTGCATTGACTTCGATGCAGAGCTCAGTTTTAAAAACAGAACTGCTCATGGATGAGTTCAGCATGTGGGGCCTAGGTTTACATTGTTTTCAGTGAAGTATTAAAATCTAAATATTTAATGCATTTAATATTTGGTGCTCGAACCCCTCAACTCTAAGTCAGTGGGTGCAGGTTAGCCTACAAAAAAAACTTCAAGATTCTTTCATCCTCAACTGGGACAAAGCTAATCTTATTGTCTCACAACACAGGAATTAAAAGATTCCTGGAAAAATAGGTGTGTGCTGCAAATACTCAAAAAATAGGTGTACAGTGCACCTTTCCAAAACAACTTCTGGTATCTATTTTAAAGACTGGAAGAGAGAAGATAAAATCTCAAAAATATTTGGTTTTGATTTTTTGTTGATGTAACTCAACAGGTTTCTGTCTCTTTTTGTATTTTTGTTAGTTTATTTTTCTGCAATTTTTTTCTCCATTCTGCTGAATGGAAATTGCAGAAAATTCTGGAGGCCTTCTTTATGTACACTGTCCATTCCTCTGATCATTTGTGTAGTCCTTCTCCATTGCTTTAAAATAAGTACACAGGGAAAGGAGACTTTGTAGGAACAAAGGCTGGAAACAATTCATACCTGCATCTGTTGATTGCTTTCTTCTACCTCACTGGATATGGGAGATGACTATTATTTTTCTCAAAAAATATTAACAGTGGGGTGCTTTTTGGATTAATTTATTTATGGAGCAATTAATTATAACTAGTCATATTTTCTAAAAAGAACCCTGCTTAGATGCTATCAGTAAAAATCTCTCAATTATTGAGTAGATTATTGCAAGTACAGAAAATACAGGCTGAATAATATTTACAGGCTGACCAAATTTTTTAACCGAATTTTTTTAACATATTAAATATATTTTTAGTAAAGTGGTAGATCTAAAAGGTTAAATCCATTTTGAGGTCCTTTGATCAACATTCATTCAGAAACATCAGCAAATACTCATGACAACCACTTGAAAGGAAAATTGGCATTCTGCCATCATTTGTGGTTGACAAGACAAAGCCAAATTCTTTCAGGAATATCACAAAACAGCACTTTAGTCCAGAAACTGCTCTTCCTCTGTTATCTTAGTTCATTTTTATTAAGGGAGGATTTGTGATTCTAAAATAAGACTACATTTAGACATTTAGACATTTTTCTTCCCCTCTCCTTTCCCCTAACCTTTTTCTTTTCTACTTTTATTAAGTTTTCCCAAAGTACCCATCCAGAAGGAAGCTGAGGAAGGAGTACTTGCCCAATGAATTTACCAAGTAATAGGTAAATTCATTCACCAGAAGATCCTCTAGCATTAGGGTATTGACTGAATTAGCATGCCTGCAAGTTATCTGGCTTCAGAGGACTTGCCCTTGGTTTGCAAGATGATGAGAAATTCAGACCACAGAGCACTGTCTGCAATTGCTGATCAAGGAAAGGTGGAGAGAAAGGAGTCAGATTACCAAAGCTCCCTGTTGTTTCAGGTGCCAGCACCAATTTTATATCTTTTCCCACACAATTTTAAGAAGACCTCTAGAGAAAATATAAATTTGTCTTCTGGTCTGCACTTCAGTGAAGAGCCAGCTTGTGCTTCCTCCTGCAGGTAGTGAAGCTCCCCAAAAGGTGAGAAAGTAGGTTGTCCTACTCTTTGATGCTGCTAGATAACAAAAATATATAAAATATATTAATAGACACCTTTATAGGTAAAAAGACACGTGCAAATATTAAAATATAAAATATTGAAAACTACTACAAACTCCCTGAGAATTTTTTTTTAGGTTTCCCAGACTGCTTCTGCTTCAAACTCCCTGAGAATTTTTTTTTAGGTTTCCCAGACTGCTTCTGCTTCCACCTTCCACCCCACTCATAGCAGACTGTGAAACTTGAACAGGATTTTGTAGTGGTGCAAGGGGCCATACACCAGATCAAATTAAAACCTCAGGGAAATTTTTTTTTTTCCCTGTCAGAGCTAAAATACCAGAAGACATCACAAAGCAAATCCTTCAGTTTAGGTTGTCCTAATATCTGCTTTTCATGCATACCAGCAGTCTATGTTCTCTTGCTTAAAGTCCTGTTAAGTAAATTTTTAAAACTTTTTTCTTTCATTTTTTTCCCTCTTTTGTTAACCTGGCTGCAACAGCTAAGCAACTCAGCTTACATCTGTCTCTGAAGATGTGCTTCCATCCCTTTATTGCACATCTTAATTTCTTTAGTAAACGTGTGTTTGCTCTCTTTTTCAACAGGACATTTCGTTGTTCAGTCCTTAATTTCTCTGTTATGAATGTTAGTCAAAAGAGTGGGGAAAGCTACAAGAAGCAAAATGGCAAAAGTCTACCAAAGTGGCAAAAGTCTACCAAATATAAACTATAAAGGACAAGCTGCCCAGAGTCTTTGAAGCTGAAGGAAAATCCATCCTGAGAAGGAAGTCAGTGGTTATGGTGTCAGGAAGAGAAGAACCCAGGGACCAGAGGCTGCTGCCTCTTACTCTCATGGCCAAGCCCTTTCTTTGCTCTGAAAGTCTTTTCTGTCTTGAACAGGAGTTGAATTTGGCGCAGCAAATTTAGCAAATATTGACTCAGTGAGTCAGTGTTCTCCTTAGCTTGCAGAATTATGCAACTGGTCCTCCAAGCATACTTCTTTAAAAGGAAATTTATATCTGCCTGTAGCTGTGCTGTATTCCAGGGCCTTTGACAGCTGGTTTTGGTTGCTAATTGCACTCCCGTTTTCCCTTTAAGCTTCTGCTCATATGAATGAAATGTGCACTCGTGCAAAATTCTGTTTACTTTAGCAGCCCACACTGGATATATTTTTTAAAAAAAAGGTATTAAAACCTCATATTTTATTTTGTGGTCTAGTATTCAAAACCACAAAATGCCAGTGCGGAGTGAAAGCAGCTGCACTCAACAGCAACACACAGCTTGGAGCACATGGCTTAGGTAAACACGCTCTGTTCTTGACCTTTTCTCTCTTCCTCCCACCCTGTCAAGAGAGAACAGCTTTCCCATGAGCTTGTACACATACTTTCTTGGGTTTCTTCAAAGTGAGATGCAATTAACAACTCCTTGGGAGGAGACAAGGAAAAATAGCAGCCGCTGGTCCTTGCCTTAAATGACCCTCTGTTTCCAGGTTCCCTAATTTCTTTGTGTAGAAAACAGCTATGTCAGCCAGTTCCATTTCCCTTTGAAGCTGTAAGCAGAAAACCCCCCCACCTTCCTCCATCCTTCTGACCTCTGAATAGGTGTTTCTTAAGCAAATGAGCAAATGAAATTTCTGAGTGCATTTGTTGCTTTACGATTTCACCTACCCATGAAATCTGGAATCATGGTTCCCTTGGTTGAGCCAGCACCTGAGTGGGGCAGACACCTTCCATCGTGGTTAGTAGCAATGAAAACCTGTCACTCATACTAAAAATGCTGGGTTTTTGTTCATCTTGCAGTGCAGAGGCTTCATGCCATTCAATGTGCAGTGACATATTTCTGAATTAGTAATAGTCAAGGCTGAAGAGAAAAAGCAAATTATTCAGCCCCGGAAGTTCCAGCCCTCCAGTTCAGTTTGGGGAAGGGCTCAGTTTCTTAGGTTTCTTTTGCTTTTTTTGGATAGCAGAGGTTTAGAGAAGGAAAAGGAAGTTTCTTTTAAAATGTAAGTAGAAGGCTACTCCCCAAGTCAGGCTCTGGGCAGCAGGCTGAATGCCAGGACCAAGCTACACATTATGAGGTGTTCTTGTGGAATAGTCTAGTGAAGAAAATTGGAGAAGGCACCAGCCATCTTTCTTCCTACTGAGAACAGAAATGTGGAGAAGTGGGCAAGTGTTTATCAGGTGATTTTTTCATGAAAAAGACTATTTTTCACAAATCCTTTCTGTAAACCTAAGCTGTGGGGAAAACCAACACTAAGCAGTTCCAAAGGAGCAACTCAACTTTGTTGTGTTGAGCTGACTCTAAAGACCTAATCCTAAAGGATCTCTGGGCTCAGTGAGTGATCCAGCTGACAATGACATACTAAATAACAAAGGCAATTGTGTAGAACTTCAGATGGCAATGCAGTATTCCCATCTAAATCCAGGGATCCTGATTTTTCATTATCTAGCAGCTTGTTCAGGTATGGACAGCTGTACCAAACAGGAATATAAAGCTATGCTGTTTTGTTGTGTTTGTGTCATAGATACAAAGATTTCCTGTGAAAAGATGGGAATAAAATAGAGAGAAAAGGGTTGCATTTCCCACCATTCCCAGGAACAGAATGTAGCAAATTATATTCTTCACATTATTGTGGGATACCAACCATTAAATTCTCTGGCAATGCCCTAGAACAATTGTAGATATGTAAAGAAAATGTTAGTCTAGTGTGAGTGATAACCATTGCTCTTGATAGTTTTGTTGCCAATAAATATCTACAGACACTATGGGATATTCAAATAACTTGTGATTACTCTTAGTACAAAAAGCGCCATTTTCTATTTCTTGCCAATGTATATATATATGTATATAATCTATTTTTTTAGCTTACAGTATATATTTTTAAACAAAATAAACAAAGTTATATTGTCCACTGGAATCCCTTGTGAATTTTATTTTGGTTTTGTAAGACTGAGAAGAACAGAGGACAAGGACATGAGGTGAAAGATAATGGTTCTGTAAATACCAGGAAATGAGCAATGTCTTTATGCACATTCCTCTTCATTTTTAAATCCTGTGTGTTAAAAAGATGAATGCACACTCCTTTGACTGTGTTCATAAGCAAAAGTAATTTGCTGATATTGCTTCCAGAAACAGAATTATCTCACTCTTGAGAAGAGGGCAGTCTGTGGACGTTGCAGTGGAAACCAGGCCTTCTCACAAGAATATGCTCTCAATTTATTTTTCTTTTTTTTTGTTGGAGAATCTTGAATGCAAGCTCAAAAGCTCAAAAAGATAAATCCTCATTTGAAAAGGACATGCAAAACTAACACAGGCTTCTGAACCTTCCACAGAAAGAAATAATAGTGCTGATTAGCTTTTTAATTTAATTTTTATTTCGGTTTTCTCAAATCAAATTCTTATAATCCTTTCAGTATAAATTGGACCAGAACACAGTCTTAAGGACAGGAATATATCTTAAATCCTAAATTTATAGTTAGGATTTAAATTTAAATCTATGCATCAGGAGTTACTGTATGAACTGAAAGGTCAGTTTACATATCCATTCTAAATCTCAGGTTTTAAAATGTAAATGAAATGGCCTGGCAGGAATAGGGATAGGCAGCACAATAGTCCCAGGAGACCAGACAAAGAAGAAGTGTGTTCACTCCACAACTTCAGAGCCTTTAACATTATGTTTGTGTCAAATTCAGAACAAGATCTAAAATAC